GGCCCCCGGAACCAAATCGATGCCAAACTCCACTTGCCTCGCGGGAGGCACACCTGGTAAACTCTTCGGGAAATACATCTGGAAACTCCCGCACCACCGGAACTTCCTCCACAGAGCTCGGTCTCTCGGAGATCATTCGCGCATCCATCACATACGCTACATAACCCTTACAGCCCTGCTGTAAACACTGCCTCGCCCTAGCAGCCGAACAAAAGGTTGATCCAGAACGTGTACCCTCGCCGTATACTGAAAGAACTCCCCCACTAGGATCTCGTACAGTCACCAACTGTCGCTCGCAATCGATAACCGACCGAATCGGCTCAAACCAATCCATGCCCACTATAACACAAACATCACCCATCGCAATCGGGATCAGGTCGATCGGAAACTCGACCCGAATATCTCCAATGCACATCCCCGGAAGACCTCTGTAGCACAAATCACTCTGTCGGCGGTATGGAAACCCGCAGGGGCCGACTCAATACTCCAGACTAACACTGATACGCTGACTAAATGCCAAAGACACAAAAGATCGACTCGCACCCGAGTCAATAACACTAAAGCAGGTACAGAATTCACAAGGAAGGTACCTAAGCATAGCATGATATAAGCATAATATCTCAACATCATAAACAATAATGAAAAGGAAACATACCAGCCACAACGTCGGGTGCGGCGCGGACCTCTTCCGCAGTCAGCTGGAAGGCTCTCTCCTGAGCCCTTGGTGCTTCGGCCTTTACGGGCCGACTCTCTGCAGCAGCAGCTCTGATGGCGGCGGGGGCAGACCCCTGAGATGCCCGCGCGCAGCAGTGGAACTCCGCCTTCCGGTGTCCAGTCTGGTTGCAGTGAAGCACACTGCAAATCCCTTGGGGCAGTCCTTAGCCATATGCCCCTCCTTGCCACATTTGTAGCAAGACCCTGCCCGACAGGCGCCATCGTGACCCTTGCCGCACTTCCCACAAGTGCGGCCCTTCTGGCTCCCGGGTCTGGGATCAGCGGGCTTGGCCGCGCTTGGCTGCCGGCTGGGACTGTGCCGGCCGCCGATCCCCTCCCCATAGACTCCGCCTCCTCCCTGGCCTGAGTCTCAAGCTCAATCTCCCTCTTCCGAGCATTTGCCTGAAGCTCGGCAAATGTCCGGTACGAGGAGTTCGCAGCGAACTCCCGAATATCCCGTCTCAAAATGCTCAGATAACGGCTCATACGTGCCTGCTCGGTGGATACGTGCTCACGGCAAAACATCGCCCTCTCCTGAAACATCCTCGTAATCGCTGTAACTGACTCGGTACCCTGCTTGAGGGTCAGAAACTCCTGTGCCAGACGTTCCCTCTCCTGAGGAACATACTCATCTCGGAACATGGAAGTGAACCTCTCCAGGTCACTGCCGCAAGCTCGGTCGGTGTGAAATGCGCAGTCACAAACTTCCACCAGTCCTTCGCTCCCAAGCGAAGCTGGTTCAGCGCGAACCGAACCTTCAAATGCTCAGGGGACGAGCAAGTGAAGAAGCATCCCTCCATATCAGATATCCACCTCATAGCTGCCACCGGGTCCTGTGTACCATCAAACTCTGGTGGCTTGGTGTTGCTGAACTCCGTGAACAACATCGCATCACCTCCCTGGGGTCTTGCCGCAGCAATCGCTGCGGTAGCTGCTGCAACCGCAGCTTCAGAAAGAGCGGCATAGCGCTCGTCAAACGTCTCAATCAAAGCGGTCTTAATGGACCCAAACATCTCTGGTATCTCGGCTCTGATGACCGCAGCCACCTCCTCATGAATGATCTGTCGAATGTCCTCATCACTAGATCCGGCATCCTCCGGCATGTGTCGTGTCCTCACCATGATCAACCTCTGAAATACAACATGTGATAATTAGAATTCACTCGAACACCCTTACATTCAACAATCCACCCCTCCTTGATTCTTGGCATCCCCAGATTCTTGTTTGAACTGTGTACCGCTCCGGTG